GGGGGGGGGGGGGGGGGGGGGGGGGGCTAAGTGAACGCTCCACATACTGTCTACAAGCCGAGAATGAGAAAATGTGTCATGAACGCACGGATAGAGTGCCACAGCACAACCCAAAAATTGACCAACCTGGGCGTCGCTGACTACTGTAACAGGAATTCGGCATAATCTAGTTGCACGAACTACCGCCCTTGAAACTAAGCCTTTTGTAAGGCATACAAAAGTGAGACCGTGGCTGACGAAAGCCAAGCTCGGCACAATGTCTGTGAGAGCGGAAACTAGTGCCCAGGTGCACTCCAACCCCCTTCATTTGACAACGTGCCGCGCGCACGCAACAAAAGAAGCATTCAAGACTTGAAAAAAAAACAAAAATAACAGATAACGAACTGAAAGCGAAACGTTTCAGGACAGGCAAAGTAGAGAGGCGGCAATACCAACGAAGAGACCAGTAGAAACACAGGTATCGGGGGTCAAACAACTCTATGAATTTATCGCTAATTTGCGCTGGACTCTTGACCTGCAATTGAAGGAATGGGCATGTGCGAATTGCTCATAACTCACACATATGCGGATGGTTGTGAGAAAAATAAAAATAGAAGTCTGAACACATCCCCTTCGATTGTGGTATTATCTCGTACAGGCAGTCTCTATTTGTACGTATACACATCTTCAAAAAAAAAAACAAACAGTTGGGTGTGAGCGACTGACTCACGGTAGATTGACCGAATCGGTGAGGTACATCGGCCCCACGTGCCCGGTCCGGGTGACCGTGTGCACCACGCTCATGGCGCACACGAGCGACGAGCTGATAGTGACCAGGATGATGAAGGCCATGAAGGCGCGGTAGTTGCGGGCACCGACGCAGTTACCGGTCCTGCGAAAAGTAGGGAGGGGGCATTGTGTGGGAGTAAGGAGAGCGTACAATACGCGTGTGTTGTGTGGGCGTGAGTGTTTTCGTTATGAGCATCGACCGCGCTAACCGGCGAACCAATGAAACGACGTCAGTCTCAGTGCGGTTCACGACACAAATGCTTCTTAAGGCCACCATCTGGGACCCTGTGAGGGGGCGTCATATGGGAGGCGTATGTGTGTATGTGTGCATGCCGTGCATGACGTGTACGAGCGCGCAAAGATCGAATTCCCTTGTGGTACTTGCAAGCATAGTCACGCGTTTGCTGCCTTAGGTGGGGTACGAGAGCCGCGCTTAGCACAACGACGGTGTACTCATGGTAATCGCAAGCCGTTGTTGGTAGACCACAGACCTCGCATCTCTACATTTCCCGGACGGAGCAACATGCCGGTTTTTCGCTGGCCCAGGCTGACCGCGTCGTTTCACAACGATGAACAGAAGCTGGTCACGATGCCTGCGTTTGCTGTGCCAAACCAGAAATTCCATGTTTGTTGATTGGGCATCCCAGCCAACCAAGTGTTTCACGCTCGGCGTACCCCACCTGTAAGGCAGCAAACGTGCCGAACAAAAGTAGCGACTTGCGTGACTTCATCGATCGCCTTTCTCACCAGGGGCAGTGATGGTCGAAGGTGAGGACGCAGTTGTTGCAATGCTTGCAGTGCTTGGTCCGCGGCGGGCGGACGATGTGGCACGTGATGCAGTAGCTCAGCTGGTCTCGCACGTCCTCCGGGATGGAGTCGGGCAGGCCGGAAGCCGCTCGCCGGGGGATGATCCCTGGGGGGGGGGGGGG